GTTAAAACCTCCACAAGGGATGAGAAACAATCTAATGTATCATCAAATTTTGAAGCATATTCAAGAATCTGGATTCTCCACGCATTAGATGTCATGTTAACTGACATTGATGAACGTTACAGAATACAAATTGATAAGAGTTACTAGTCTACTAAAGATGATGAAAGAAAAGAGGCAAGGAAGTGTGCATACTTGGCTTTGAATCTTTCCACATGCTGCAACAAAGTGTTTAGGACCAGCAAGATATCCAAGTCTCCAACCAGTCATTGCAAAGGCCTATAAATATCAACATTTTCTAAGGTTCATGACTTGATATGTATGACCATATCAAAATTATGTGCAAGGAAAGCACTTCAGTACAAATAAATAAATAAATAAATAAAAAATAAAAAAACTTGAAAGGAATTAAGCTGAAGCACCTTAGAAAACCCGTTGACAGTCAGTGTCCTCTCCCACATCCCTGGCAAAGATGCAAAGCTTGTGTGCGTTGCTGGTGCATAAATAATGTGTTCATATATTTCATCAGACAACACCTGAATAGAACAACCAAAGGCAATCCAAAACTTGATGTTAGGTAACTTGAATATGCTCCAAATAAGGATACCAAAAGTTGCATAATAAGTGATATTTTACCAGAAGCCGGGGATGCCTTGCCACAATCTGAGCGATCTCTTCAAGCAACTTCCTTGGGTAAACAGATCCTGTTGGGTTAGATGGGGAACAAAGAATCAACAGTCTCGACTTCTCACTGAGTTTGGATTCAAGATGCTTTGGATCTAAGAGAAAATTTTCGGAGATGTGGGTATGAAGAATCACAGGGGTCGCATCAGCCAACCTTGCCATTTCTGGGTAACTCACCCAAAATGGAGCTGGAATTATAACCTGAAGAATAAATGCTATCCTGTAAGTGTCTATCAACTGCAAAGGTAGAGCATTAAATATAAACATTTAAAATGTCATCACCCTCATCCAAGTAACCAACAAAGATTACTTCCATTGTGCCACATTTCCATACTTCATAACACACACATTTGAAATGGAGGATAAAATATCCCAAAAAACATGCCTATTAATAACTAATAAGGTGTAGTAGATTTAATCTATTCATTTCAGCACAAGGAAATCAAAAAGAAGATTCATAGAATTTATAGATCTAGTGATGAGTGTAAAAGTGTGGACTAAACCTCATCTCTAGGAGAACAAACAGCTAGCACTGCTTGAAGGATGCTCTGCTTTGCTCCATTGCTCACCAAAATCTGATCAGGTTTAAACCAAAAGGGGGCAAGGAGGCAAAATACACAAAATACAACAATTGATTACCCTTAGAAGACTCTGTTTTATGCTCAGTAAGACCTGGTTTTAAGGTGCCATACAGATCTCTTCCCTCTCCTCCATCATGCGACAGAAATGAATCCATATTATCATCCAGAGAACCGGCATCTCCAAAATGTTCTATGTCTTCCTGCACTAATAATCAATGTTGAGCTTCATGTTACACAGAAACTTCATCCATGAGACAGATTCATTCAATACAGACTTCATGTCAATGTCAATGCTAACAGATCAATCAACTAGAAAATCCAATCAGCATGATCAACGAACTAATTTAATATCACATATAAATCAAGCAAATTCAACACTAGGACCTTTTATCTTCCAAATTCAAATTTACCAGTTCTTGCCTTAACAAATTCAAAATTGCCGATAATAAATGAAATCTTGATTTCAAGTTAAAAACAATAATGTACTACTCACTATAATGTATTGAAGAAGAAATTGAGAGATATACACTAATAGATATGGAAAATGCAACAAAATAGGGCAAGAATAAGATGAGTTGAACCAGTACATACCTGTACGAGGATGAGACGAATTAGTCGAACCAGAGCTTCCTCGTATGATATGTATGTGTAGATAGATAGATAGATAGATAGATAGATAGATAGATAGATAGATAGATAGATAGATAGAGAGAGAGAGAGAGAGAGAGGGATTGGGGGCGAGATTGGGAGAGAGATTCATACCGCTGGAGATCTTTAGACGACGATGACGAGCGAGAGAGCAGAGCTGTACAAGTCTATTGAATGCGTGCGAGAGAGAGAGAGAAAGAGAATGATCCACCATAGATCTTTAGAGCTATTTGTCAATTCTCTCTCTAGAATCATCTAGAACACAAGCTATCAGAGATATATACACAAATATATGCATGTATATAAAGAGAGAGAAAGAGACCTGGAAGAGGTTGAGGAGGGCAGGGGCGAAGGCGAGGCAGCCGAAGGAGAGAAACGTTACTGGCGACCTGAGAACTGAGAGCTTCGACGATTGATTTAAGACAGAGAGAGAGAGAGAGAGAGAGAGAGAGAGAGAGAGGGGAACGATATCAATGTTTGTGAAATAGGGCTAGGGCAATTATAAGGAAAAAAAGAAGAAAAAATAAATATAAGGAATAAATAGATTATTTGCGACTGATAATTAGGGGGTCGCAAATTATATAGTAGCAAAAGGTCATTTTTCTAGTAGTGCCAATAGGTTATGCGAAGCTATATGCATTTTTTTTTAAACTCTTTACATGTGGCTAGCGTTGGAAGTTAGGCAAATCTTTTTCCCCATCAAATTCATTCTCTATCCCTTTGATCATCAATCCTCCAAAGATTAAATTCATTCTCTATCCCTTCAATCATTAATCCTCCAAAGATCAAGTATGACTTTATCATTTAAAAAAATAATTTAATAATATATTTAAAATAATAAATAGTTGCAAATGGCTTGTTAGAAATCAAGTCAACACTAGGTGCACATATGGCATGTCATAAAAAAATTGTATTTTTTATTTTTATTTATAGTTAATACAAATTTGATCTGATTAAGTAACTATCAATATCTGATCAACGTAATTTTTATAGTGACGAAATAATTGACGATTGCTACATATTAAACGGTTCAAATTATCAATACAAATTTCGTAGTGGGTTCACAGAAACCCAACAATACACTCCAAAAAAGCCACTGCCTTAAAAGTTCATTCCAAACTTATGTTTGTACATATTCGGAAGAGTGGCAAGATTTATTTACTAACACATGTAGCACATGTGGCATTAAATAATTACTCGAGTCTTGAACGGTGTAATTTGAGTTTGTGAACTTATTATGAGCTCAATAATGAGCAATGTTACATCTATTTAAAACAAAATATGTGCTTATTCATTACAATAATTTGGACTTTCAGCAATGTTTTTTCAGTAATCAAAAGTGTATTTTTCGTCGCCGAAAGTATTAGTGACCACTACAAGAAAAAGCAAGAGTGGCAAGATTTATTTACTAACACATGTAGCACATGTGGCATTAAATAATTACTCGAGTCTTGAACGGTGTAATTTGAGTTTGTGAACTTATTATGAGCTCAATAATGAGCAATGTTACATCTATTTAAAACAAAATATGTGCTTATTCATTACAATAATAATTTGGACTTTCAGCAATGTTTTTTTCGTCATCAAAAGTGTATTTTTCGTTGCCGAAAGTATTAGTGACGCAAAAAAAAAAAAAGGTCGCCAAAGCCATGTCATTAAATGATTTGGCGACCGAATAAATTACAGTCGCGCTTATAAAAGAATCAGTGACCAAATAATTTAATGGCCAAATACCAAAAAATCGTCGCCGTAAAGTAATGTTTAGTTGCTAAAAATAGTCTTAAACAAATGCCATGTTAGGTTCTAGCGACCTACAAAAACATTGCTAAAACATCCTTCAGCGACCAAACAAATTAGTTGTTGAATGCCAAATCTTTTGGCGACCAATTAAGATTTTGGTTGCTAAAATAAATTAACAACCGAAAAACTTCTCATCAAAAATTCATTATTTTATTTTTTTTTATTACAATTTCCTTGTTCAATTCATAAACCTGTAAAAAAAATCTAAACCCGAACTTACTTTTCCTATGCATCATTTCTACACATACATGCAATAAAAAAAATTAATACACTGTGCAAAGCATCCAAACTATAAGCATAAGCAAAATATCAAATCCAAAACATTCAACATAAATAAATCCCTTACAATCAAAAACTTAACACATATACACAATGATTCCAAAAAAACTTCCAAGTTACAAAATCCTATGACAAAATATATTCAAAAATTTAAAATGTAATCATTTGATGCTCCCCAAAATACATTCTATCCATTGCCAATCTGTCAAACATATGAAACAAAATTACAGTATTAAAATGTTAGTAATAAAATGCTTAGTCTCAAAATTATGATATACCAAACGCAACAGCCACGCCTAATTATATTGCTCAAAAAATAAGAATAACAGCAAATTTTTTTTTTTACAAAAGCTTGCTCATTAACCAAACATAAAACCACCTATATAATAAGCTGAAATGAAGGTAATTTGGAAAAGGACCAAGTATGGTGGAAAAAGAATTAATTTAATTGACAAAAATTATAACTTTTGTTTGACTCATTTATGGAACCATAATCATTACAATAATAATAAAAAAAAAGGGTAGACATCACAATTATTCATATGGGATGACTAGCTTTTTACTAGGATTTTAAAGGTGGCTTTATGCTTTATTTTTAATTTCTTAACACTACAACCTGCATAATACTAGCTAGGATTGTAATAACCTGATCCTCTCATATGCTTTAATTTCCTCATTATATGTGTGCTTATGTGTTTGATGTAAAATTTCATATTTTAATGTGTGCATGTTTATAAATTTGTATCTGTCGGTTATGAGAAAATTTGTTGAAATTACAACATTTGGATTGAAAATTGAAAGTCTTAGAGGCGCCGTAAATCGAAATCGACTTTATAGTTATGATTAGCATGATTTTTAGAACACAATATGAAGTTTTGTAAAAATTTGATTAGTGGTGAATTAATTGGATTTATTTGGCTAAATTCTTCATTAAACCCAACCGAGGCTCAAATAAGCTAAATAATATACATATATACGAGAGCCTTAGAGCTAACACTTAGACTCAACAAAAAATATCTCCTGGAGGAGACTTAGAGGAGAAAAGAAGAGAAGAGAGAGAGGAGAAAAGAATAAGAGATTTCAACTTAGAGCTTGGAGATTTAGGAATTGAAGCGGGACATCAAGATTATAGCTCAAGGTAAGAGTAAATCAACTAGAATACTCTCAATCTTCCTTTAATTGATTAAAATCAAGCCTTAAGATGAAGCTTTTACACTCTTAAAAGTTAGGGTTTTTGAGTTGTGATTTTGCTTGAATCAATATCAAGAAATTAACATAGATTCCTTTCATTTGGTTGATGTAAGAGTTGCTTCCATTATTTTGAGTTTGATTTGAGTTGGATTGTGAGAAATTGTATCTACTCTTGAGTCTTTGCATGTTGTGAACTCATGTAAACATATACAAACATGTATAATATGAAAAGATGAAAAAAATAAAGGAAATATGGAAATTGGAGTTGTATATGCCAAATTAAAGTAAGTTATGGTCTAATTGAGCTTGAGTTTCATGTTTATTATGGTCATATGTCATGTTTTTGAAATGAAAGTGCTTGAATTGAGCCTTAGAAATGCCTTTGGAAAACTTGAAATTGTTGGATTTTCGGATTGTGCAACAGAGCCTAGAATTGCACGTGCGGGGTTCACAGCCACACGTACAGGATGCACAGCTGCACGTGCGGAAAACTGGGGAAGCAAGTTGAGCAATCTGAAATAAAGGCATGTGCGGGCCGCACGTGCAACACACCTTTCCGCATGTGCGGTGGGGGTCTTCCGCACATGCAGGAATCATTGAAGAAAATTGTTGTTTTCTGTTCATCTTTTTGACCTTCTGAATCCGTTAATGTGTATGTTTAATCCCTCCAAAATGCTTAAAGATAAATAGAAATTGAACGAAAAGGAAAAATGATTAAAGAGAAGAAGCTAAGAAAAGATGAATTGCTTATCAAGTTGTGTGTGTGCCATATGTAGGTCACTCTCTGGAAGGGACCATTGTGTGACCAAATCACAGTGAGTAATAGTAGTGTAACGATATGTATTATTTATGTATTTTTGCTTATGATTTATGTATTTTTGATCATGAATGGCATACGTTATATAAATTGTGTTTTGATTGGAATGATTGAGCGTTGGACAGTAATAGCATACGAAATGGACTTGAGGTCGTTCTATTTCTGCTATGTATGATGGGCCTGAGGTCGTTATGTCTGAGATGGATTGTTTATGACTAATGGCCCTAGGGCCGAGGGAGATGGAGACATGCCGATGTTCCATCTACTCTATAATGTTTTGAACGACTGTTGATATGTTGGGCCTAAGGTCGTTCTGTATCATGTTGGGCCTAAGGTTGTTCCGTATCATGTTGGGCCCAAGGCCGTTTCGTCTTATGTGAGCCCAAGGCCGTTCTAGAATATGATTATGGATAAGACATGCATATGTTGTATATTTATTCTTCAAAACATATGCTCATCCTTATGAACCTCTTATTACTCACTGAGCTTTGCTCACTCCGTATTTATATATATTTATGTAGGTGACCAGCTCGGAGGCCAGCCTTAGGTCAGCTTTAGGAAACTTTTGATGAACCTGTTTTGTTAAACCTCCAAAGTTGGAGCCTTCTGTGTTTTTGAGAAGTTCCTTTGATGCTGTATTTTTGTTAGGTCTTTGGTGGCTTTTATTGAACACTTGGTTAATATGTACATTTTGGGCTGTTAACTCTTTGTATATACCTACATGATTTGAACTTGTATTTATATGAACTATGTATGTGAACTCCCTATTTATGGCATGATGTTTTAAAATCCTAGCATTTAAGTACTGCTCAATGGACGTTCTGTTATTTTATTTGCTTCCGCTCAGGCCCTCATTATGATAAATTCTCTGTAATCTGTAAGAGGCCTTCGGTAATCAAGAGATTACTGGCCGTTCATGATCAAAACTTTTAGGGACGGGTTTGGATCGTGACAAGGATGATGTGGCCTAGCCTTTCAGATGTTGTATATATGTGTCCTAATGTACTAAAACAAGCTATAATTTGATCGAAACTGAAGAATAATGAACAAGTGGTTTGAACGGCTTTTGGGTGGCTACTATCAAGTTTTGTAATGTTCTATACCGGTTTGCGAGACTTGATACAGGGCAGCTAAAGTGTTTGTTGTGCTGTGGTTTTCTTTGTTGGTTTCTCACCAACCTCTCTCCCCTTTATTGATGTAATTCTTAAATCTTGTATTTTGTGATTTATCAATGAAGTTCTTTTTTTAATTGATAAAAAAAGACTAAATATTTCTATTTTGCAAAAGGTGGAAGATTGATGTGTCTACCTAAGATAGGTCCATAAGAATGTAGAACCTCACCAAGTTACTAACAGAATTGAATCAATAAAATTGTGTCGAATATTATATAAGCATCTTTTACAAGAAGGCACAAATAATAATAAATTTTCTCAGCCTATTTGAGGCAAAATCAAAAGGCAATATGAAATCAAATGAAATGAGTAATTATAAATGGTGCAAAATCTAAATGTAAAGACCTCCAAATGAATGCTTAATGTTGTGACTTAAACCTGATTAATATCAACCAAATAAATGAGGATAAAACACACTTTCAAGCTTATCAAGTAAGTAGGCTACAAGGTTGGTTGGGTAGTGGCTGAAACAGAAAATTATTTAGGTAGAGAATATGGATTGATCTATTGAAGTGGTGGGGAATTTACTGGGCAACACCAGCAAGTGTGGCTGGGAGTCAAGCAAGTGTGGCTGCTCCTATGGTGGCTGGGAGTCAAGCAACTTCAGTTAATAATTAAGACTCACAAATAGCAGCTGCAGCCACAATAACATCAACAGTTGCAGCTATTATCAAAGTAATGCCACCAACAGGGGATTGTATTACCTTCACTAATATCTTAACCAAAAGTCCAATTGCTTCCCAAATAGACCTTTTCAACCTTTAAGTTTTGCACTAATTGAAGTTCTATGTCAACTCAGCCAACTCAAGAGTAGCAAGCAGCAGTTTGTTTCAACAAATATATTAAGTGAAATGCTTACAGTGATTATTTGAAAATTAAATTATGAAAAATATACTTACAAAAATGCTTGTCAATAAGATTCCTCTGATGGATAATTATCTTTATCAACTTGCATGCATGCCTGCCTGATCCTTGCGCATCCTCATAAACTTTTCAATCTCTTCAAACCTTTTGTTTTGCATTTCAATCATTCTAGCTTGCTCTTGTGCTACCAAGTTCTGGGCTACAATTTGTTCTTGCTGGACCTCGAACAAATTCTTCAATGACTCTAGTTGTTTTTGTAGGCTCAAAACCATCTCAATATGTGTTTGTGCACTAACAGAAGATCTGGATGAGGATGGTTTTGGACCAACTCTGAAGTCCTTTAAGTATCCCAATCTCTTTTCAAGAACCTCAATTGACAACTGCTCTTGAGTTAAAGATATTGGCCCAGGCTCCAAAGACTCTTCACGTCGCTTTTTTAAAGCTTCCTATCAATTTGTAAATAACTTCAACAAATGGAACCATTTACATAAATATGTAACTCTATCAATTGGCATACTTATATGTAATTGAGAACTCATATCGATACTGAGAACTCATCTTATTTTTAAGTAACATCTAACTCTTGTCTATATTTGGTCACCTACAAAGCCAAGGTTATTTGAAAATTCCTTTGAATTAGAGAATTTACAGGATTATAGTTCCATACCTTTTGGTGACCCACAAGATTATGGTTTCACATCCATTTCACGACCAAATGATACATCACAATAGTAAGTGATAAACAAGAATTATATTCAAGTAGAATATGCAATCTAGAGTAAAGGGTGAAAAAGAATCATACAGTAAGTGATGAAGTTGATATATAAATTAGAATTGCTATATAAATTATGGTCTTGAAATTGTTACATATTAGTTTAGTTATTCTTGAAAAAACATATTTATCTATATAGATACAAGACTTATTTCTTTGTTGAGTTAGACATAAAATTGAGACTTTGAAACCAAACACGGTAGCCATCCCTAATTATCGCATTTGGTTTTATTTTGTTTACATGTCAAATAGTTTCTTAGGTCATCTAAGTGTTTGTCATATCATGAATGCTCAAAACATTAGGGAAAAAAATGTGAATCCTCTACCAACCACAAATTTAATAAAAGAAGTGTCAAAATTCTCTAAATAAATTAAAAATGCCGTAACAAATAGTCAAAGCTTATTTAATATAGTAATTGCCCCCAACGAATGATTGTAACTTTTTTATCTCTCTGCATTAGCAAATAACCTATGACATTTGACTTGTAAATCAAAGTTTAAATTAAAATCGTACTATACATGAAATTAATGGAGAGTTATGGGCATGAAATGAATGCTAAATAACATATAAGGATACCCATGTCTTGTCTTCATTTTTTTTTTTTCTACCTTATTGTCAAATAACAAAAATGCTTGCACTTATAATCTAGAAAACAATTGTATTCTTGCCAAAAAAAAGAATAAATCACAATTTTGAACAATGTACAATTCACTATTGAAAAAGACAGATACATAACATAGATTAGAAACTTGGATTGAAGCAAAAATAAATATCAACTGAAGCAATGGCATGGCATGGCATGACATCATACAAGTTAGAACCTATAAGCAAAAATAACAAACTCTATTTGCATACAACAAGCACTACTTTTATGAATTTAACTATTAATTTTAAACTCTTTAAATAATAGGACTGAAACCTCTCTCTAATTCTTTATTGTTAGACTTTTTACTTAACAATCTTTTCGTTCAATTCCATTCATTAAAATAATCAAACAAAATTAATCACATCTCAGTCCTATTACAATTTTTTACTCAATATGTTTTTCTAATTCATTTCCTTAAAAGATTTTCTTGTTCTCTACAGGACTATCACAACATATGACAAACCCCCTCTTCTTCCCTAAATAAATAAAAAAACAAAACAAAACAAAAAATGAGGCAACTAAAACAAACAAAAATGAACAAAAATGAGGCTCAACTTTCCTTGTATTATTTGATTAAAAATGGCCTGAAAGCATGGAGAATTTAAAAAGCTAAACACAAAACCCCATTAATTAATTGATTAATTAATTAAGTCATTGGCAAAGATTGAATATATCAGCAGACCACTCATCTCTTCTTCTCATTATGTTGTTATGTTTCCACTAAGTTTTGTTTGGTTGTAAAATTGTTTTGTTTGGTAATGAGGCTCAACTTTCCTTGTATTATTTGATTAAAAATTGCCTGAAAGCATGGAGAATTTTAAAAGCTAAACACAAAACCCCATTAATTAATTGATTAATTAATTAAGTCATTGGCAAAGATTGAATATATCAGCAGACCACTCATCTCTTCCTCTCATTATGTTGTTATGTTTCCACTAGGTTTTGTTTGGTTGTAAAATTGTTACTTTTTTGTATCAAAGAAGGCTTGGGGACTTTGTAGTTAAAAAAAAAAAAAAGAAAAAAAAAGAAGAAGAAGACATTGCAGTTTTTTTTAATTATTATTATTATTAGGGTATGAAATTTATATTAACAATTCCACCTTCAAATATAGAAAACCCCAATTTATACCTAAATCCAACCCATCTTCCGTGATAATGAAATTATCTTAAAAAATATCCTATCCGTTTGTCTTCATCAAATAACACAATCAATTTTCCTTAGAAATTAATAAGACAATCAATTTTTCCATGATCTAAAAATGATAAAACAAATAAGACAATCAATTTTCATTATAGAAATTAATAAGACAATCAATTTTTCCATGATCTAAAAATGATAAAACAAATAAGACAATCAATTTTCATTATTTCAAATAAAAAAAAAATGTTCCCAGTGATAAAAAAAAAAATCATGAAATAAGACAAGCTAGTTGGGACAGACAACCACAGCTAAAAAAAAAAAAAAAAATTATTGATACACAATCATGGAAACTCAACATGCAAAAAAGAAAAACAAGAGAAATACTATTATATATTCAGAATGTCTATATAGATACAACTAAAAAAACCTACAAAAAAAAGAATTAGTTACAAAAGACAAATTCTTGGGAAGATGAATTTTTGGTTTTTTTTTGGTTAAAACAAGAGAAATACTATTATATATTCAGAATGTCTATATAGATACAACTAAAAAAACCTACAAAAAAAAGAATTAGTTACAAAAGACAAATTCTTGGGAAGATGAATTTTTGGTTTTTTTTGATTTTTTTCCACTAAAAGACAAATTAGTTACAAAAAAAAAAAATCTAAACAAAATATCACATTAAACCCTATAATCATTTCATTTTTTCTCTCACAAACATCACATCTAACCACAAAAAAATTCAATTATCTTTCCAAATACAAAAAAAAATTTTCTCCAATAATATCTTACAACTAAAAAAACCTATAAAAAAACTCACTTCTCAAACACCCACAAAATCACAATCCCAAGAATGGCAATCTCAAAATCTATCTTTTATTTATTTATTATTATATATTCAGAATATTTATATACAATTTACAGTTCCAAAATCTGTCTTCTATATAGATCGCAGTCCCAAAAATTATTACATACATTCAGAATATTACAGAGAGAGAAGATGAGAGGGTAGCGACTAGAGCGGTGGTCGGGATCAGCGCTGTGAGAAAGGGAGACAAAAGGGAAGCAATGTTTGAGGGAATGCTGTCGGTGGTGCTCAATTGGCGGCGCGAGAGGAAAAGAGAAGAAGAAGAAAAAGCGATAAGCTCTGTGCTGTGCTGTGTTTTGTTGCACCGAACAAAAGCATGAAATTGAAGACAAATAAGAAA